TTAAAAAAAAAACGCCCCCAAGATACTACACAAATCTTCTCGACTTTATTTTGTAAGAAGAAACCGGATGTTACAATGTACAGATATTAGGTTATGGTATATTGGCTCATATACCAAAATGGCTAAGCCAATAAAAATTCTTGAATTGCATTATCCAATGATCCAGTTTTTAATAAATATGTATATGGCGTGTGTTTAATTTATTGTGTTAGTTCTTTTCGGTTAACGGACTTAAATAAACGGATTTCATTTTAACCGCGTTGTACTACACTTATCTCTCCCTCTACTCATCTTTTCAGTCAGAATTATTTTGCCTGCTCTCCGAGCACATCATGTTATCGTAAAAAATTTTCTTTCTCACCTGTCTCGCACTGAACTCCTTGATATCCAGCAGGACATAGACAACGGTATCCATGGTCACCAAACCCCGCTTGACATGTGGCTTGATTAGCACACGGATTGCTGTCACAAGGATTCTGAAAAGGTAAAAATAAAATGGACCTATATGCAGAATAAAAAAATTGATGGATAAAAAATGAATATTTATAACATAGCTTTCAAATTCGTGCAATCAAATTCAAAAGCGCGAGCGTGCTTCAATTTTCCATTGTGCACGCTGGTGTACGGTGGCCCATAGTACGGTGGCCCATAAGGGCAAAACACAACTCAATTTCTTTTCAAAAACACAACAATCTTTGCGAGAACACAATAATCTTTGCGAGAACACAACAATCTTTGCGAGAACACAACAATCTTTGCGAGAACACAACAATCTTTTCGAGAACACAACAATCTTTGCGAGAACAAAACAATCTTTTCGAGAACAAAACAAAATTTCCAGAACACTAAAATCTTTTTCAGAACACAACGAAAATTCCTGATACACAACAATCATTTTAAAATTACAATAAAATTTTCTGATACACAAACGCAAACTAAAACACAACAAAATTAAGTGAAACATAACAAAATTTCAAAGTACTGATAACTAACCCTGACGCTAAAGGCGACGGGAACCTGGGACTGGCTCTGGTCAATGTCATTAAAAGGCGCCATTTTGTACCGTTCATGTCCATGGGGCTTGATCTGAAATGGCTTCTTCAAGTTCAGTAAGCGATAATCCGGGGGAGGAGAGCATAATTTCATTTTACTTTACAAGAGGATATACGTATGAAGCTATCACTGAATTTTTAGCGAAGTTTGATGGCATTACGATGTGTGTACGAACATTGAAAAGTAGGTTGAGGCAATTGAACTTAAGGAGAAGATTGCTATCTTTTGATATAGATGTTGTACGGGAACAAATCTTGAATGAGCTTAGTGGCCCAGGCTGCCAAGGTGGATATAGAAGTATGTGGCATACCCTACGACTAAAAGATTTTCAAGTTCTTAGACATGTTGTACTTCAAATTTTATTTTCCTTTGTTTCAAACTCATTACCGTACATTAACATGACCGAGAACAAAAGAAAAGAAAATTTGAACCAAGTGTAAAATTGAACTACAACATTTACACTAGGTGTAACCCAAACCACAGTTTCTTAACATTTGGTTGGCATCAGGTTTTCTTTTTAGGAGGGTTGATTTAATTGAATAGATGTCCTTACATGGTTAGCTTTTGGCCTTCTTGACACTGTTCACAAAAGTAAATGGTCAGATAAAAGGTCCAGCTAAATTGAGAATTGTTTAGGACGCGGTTTTGTTTGACAAAGGCTAAACTTTGTTAGAATAATCGGCCCTAAATACCTATAAGTTATGAAGACTGCGTATAGAGAGCAGGTAGGGTGCTGTGATAGGGCTTTTAGCTGTGTTCCGAGTTTGATTCCCGACCTCGCGTCGCATGGGCTTCCTTCTATGGTTTCTTTTCCCATGCTTCCTTTTAGTTTTCAATAACCAACATTCTAAATTCCAATTCTACCCGGAAACAGAAGGCGAGAAGCCACCTTATGGGTAATTAGAACTGCCATCCTTTTTTATTTGATTCCACGTAGATTTAAGTTGCCCACGAGGAAAGAATTGAGAATTATAACGTTGTGCTATTACCTTTTATAGCCCCACTAATCAGAAGCAAAAGTGGCCTAGAAGATGACAGCAGTAAGCCCACGTTGTAGTTGGAGGAAAATAATTTGTGCCAATTTTTAAACTGACTTGGTTTAAATTTTTGGTCGGCAACTGAATTCCAGTCACTAGTTTTATGAATTCTTCAGTTGATTTGATTGAAGGAGACACCAGATTTTATTGCTTAATGGCCTCACACGATGAACTAAATAATCAAGTGCTGTACAAGGAATTCAAGAAAGTGGACTCAAAACTTTTATTCCTTTGAGAGAAAAATTTTCCCGCCATTGTAGAAATCCTCTTTTGCATTAAACAGCAGTTCAATTTACCTGTCAAACCGAGTGCGTGCTAGACTGGGGAGAGGGGCGTAATTACATCACAGCTACTCAACGCCCTACTTAGTTGCTTGCAGTGCGTCCATGTGAAAGATGATTTGCGAGTAGGCCCTTATTATTAGTGCTGGAAGACGCACGTTTCACCGCCCACGGGACGATGTAAGACGAGCCCAGAAGAGTATCGAGGGTCTGGAACTTACTCTCCCACGAGTGAAGAAACACTCGTCTCGAAGCGTTAGATGGAGGATTGCTCGCAGGTTAGGTGAAAGACAACTTGACAACAGACCATCTGTATGTGATCACCAAGAATATATGCAAAAGTAATTATTGAAAACTTGCTTCCAAGCAATTGNATTTTAGTGTTCTGGAAAATTTTGTTTTGTTCTCGAAAAGATTGTTTTGTTCTCGCAAGGATTGTTGTGTTCTCGCAAAGATTGTTGTGTTCTCGCAAAGATTGTTGTGTTCTCGCAAAGATTGTTGTGTTCTCGCAAAGATTGTTTTGTTTTAGAAAAGAAATTGAGTTGTGTTTTGCCCCTATGGGCCACCGTACTGGTGACGTCAGCAAACAAATGCCTCGCGAAAATTTTTTTTCTCGCGACTGACTTCAGCATTTTTCATTAAAAGACGGGAAAAACTTCCGCAAAAAAAGTTAAACTAGACATGGCAACAAGCGAACAAGCCGATGAAGATCTGCCTACTTTTTCTTTGGGAATGGATTTTTTAACTCCCGAGAAAGAACCCAGAGAAAGGGAAAACAAAACAATCAACGGTCTCATCTCGTTTCGGAACTCTAATAAACTTCATTTCCACGCATGAATGTACCTGTCAGTTTTTGACCAATCTGAGACAAGATCATTTAAGCATGACGAATTACTTTTACCGAAACAAAATAAACAACGCATTGAAGCGTGGGAGAGGGAATTTCTGCTCTTTATACATAAACTACAGCGTTGAAAATGTTATTAAACAATTGGTTCATAGATCAGCTGTGCGTTCATCGAAATATGAAGCACTTGGGAAGTTTGGAGAGCACTCTAGAAGCTAAAGTTGCTCGAGGCGTAGCCGAGAGCAACTCTTAAGTATCTTTCGTGCTCTCCTAACTTCCCCGCGTGCTTCATATTTCGATGAACACACGCTGACTTATGAACTAATTGTTAAATGAATAAATAAATAACACTTTATCAGAGTTCCTTTGCAAAACTGAATGTTGTTAAGTACTTACAAAAATCTCTGTGTATAAAAATCCGCTTTTGTCTTCGAAGGAATCGAAGACTTGTAAGTGGGTCATGTCATTCAGCTCGCATGTGGATGTTCCACCTCCCCCCGGACCGTAGTTGTAAGACACGCAGTTTGGTTCAAGATAGCATCTCAACTCACAGATATCCCTGTCTTGCACTTGGTCTGTCCTAATAACGTGATTCGTTAGAATCTTGTTTTTTGTTCCTTCTTTGAATTTAATCACTCGACAATCATCTGAGGGAGGAAGAAGGAATAAAGAAGCTAATGAGAAATATAATATGTAATGTCCTTCATTCTTCAAAGGCAGAACAGGTGGCAAGCCTTTCCATATTATAGGCAACTGAGTTATTCAGTCAAATTGCCTTCAACACAAAGGCCTTTTCTAGTCAGTCATATGACTTTTCACAAAAGTTTATTTCTTCGGACCTTTTTTCCTTTACGAGAAATAGTCGAACCTAATACTCCTTCACTCACTGATATCAAACAATTACAGTGCAGAAGATAAATAATTTAGTCTAGGGGTTAGTGATACTAAAAAATGCTATATAGGTAAATGCCGCCGGAATGTTATGATCCTGAATCGGATGTCGTACTCAAGGCAGGAAACAATTTTTTTTCTTCTGTTTTTGATGTTTCCGTTTGTTTGGTAGATAAACTCTGGGGGATGATTTTTCATCGCACAGGGAATAACCGGATGGAGGACTGACTTCGACATACCCTTAAAACGCAAATTCGTAAGAGCCATACCTCCCATACTATTTGCTTCACACTGGTTATTTGCAGAAACACAATCCAGACAGGTAAAGAGAGCAAAGAATATGAAACGTTCCATTTTCTGCAGCATTTTTCCTGTTTAAAACATTAAAAAATATTAAGGCAATTTTACTGAATCTTGGGAAAGTAAGGCGAATTTTCTAAAACGCAGTGGCGTGCTGTTTCATAAAAAAAAACTTGTGAAAAATATATCAAGCTACCTTCGTCGTCTCATTTTTTCAATCTTTAGCAGCTTTGCCTAATTTTACTTTAGATGTCTTAACTGGACATTTGTGTGTCACTAGCCGGGAATAAATGGGTGTATCTTTCCATTTTCGCTTGCTTGAGTGTTTTCTTGCCTAAAGTACACTATGAACTGAATATGTCAATTTGAATTCACCCTACATAAAACCGTTAATT